TGATTGAATACAAAGGAATTGATAACAAAATATCGTTGCAATCGATTCCTGCCATCACTTTATGCTTTGAACACACGTTTGAAGACATTTTGTTTGATCCCTATATTCGACACTATTATATGAAAAGGGTTTATTATAAACCTATTTTAGGATTTAAATTCAACTTAACTGATAACCACATTAAAAATAAAAGTGTTTTTTAAATTATTATGTAATAATGAACATTGTTGAATTTATTCATAAAACAAATTTTCGAATATTTAGAGACAATGATACGATAAAAATAGAGTATTTCCATAATGATTTAATTACTGGCAAAAAATACATTGATTTTTTATATAAATATTTTAATGTTAATTCAAAGCAAGAATTTAAACAGAATTTGCAGACAATTAATGAGAATATTCTGGAGTCGACTCAAAATGAGTTAGACTTCTATTCGAGTCATATATTATGTGATATCGACGATCAATACAAATGTCACGAATCGAGACCTACTCTTAGATTATTGTCTCCTTTTGGCAAATGTAACACATTTTTGGCTAATTTTAATCCAAATAAAAGAATCAATGAGTTTAAAGATAGCATTAATTTTAGAGAGGGTCGGGGTTATGATATATTACGGAATAAAATAAGTTATTTGAGAAAAAAGTTTATAATTCATTCACAAAATAGTTTTCCCAAAATAACTGATAAAGTGATTTAATTTAAAGATAATATCAATAAATATATGAATAATTTAATAAAAATAATGAGATATTCATTGAAACGACTGCCAAAACCATATGACACTGAATGTGAAGAATATTCTGGAAATGAAACACAATTTCATTGTCTAAACAAATGCTATGAAAAGTCATATCAGAATCACTTCCAATGTATTCCCAAATATAATAGTTTACTAACCATTCAATTACACAATCAATACATTCAACCAAATGTTACTTTTTGTCAGAATTATTATATTAACAATATAACTGAATTCAACGCAAAAATAATTGAATATTGTCAACATAAATGTCCTGTCTCATGTCTTGATAATTCATATGAACTTCATGCTACCGATATTATAGTGTCTCGTGATGGATATATATATTATAAATTTCAATTAAACCATCATTTTTATATACAAATCAATTATACCCCAAAATACCTATTCATAGATCTGGTGCTAAGTATAGCCAACACATGGAGTCTATGGCATGGAATCAGTTTCATTGGTTTAATCATGGATTTGATTGCATTCATTAAATGCAAACAATTTATTAGATCTCAAAAGTTTGCGATAATATTACAGTCATTACAGTTTGGGACCATTTTAAAGGTTTAGTGTTTATTACAATCATTTATTACATTTTTTATTTAATATATTTTTATCAATTTCAGCGCATATTGTGGGCAATACTTACGGCAATACTTGTGCACCAATTATACGACATATCAAAGGATTACTTCGGCTTTGAATCCCATATTATAATTGACGCCAAAACCTATGAATCGGACCGTAATTATCCGTACATTTCATTAGTCACTGTTGATGATAGAATTTATCAAGAGATACCTGGGTTAATTTGCACACATAAAATTAAACGAGATTGTCAATTGGATGTCAAACAATTATTTAATGGTACACTTTATGGTACTTATTATTTAGCAGGCAAAAATATTATTTATTTATTTAAATCCGTTAAAAGTTATTATTTTCCAAATTATTTCTATAATATAAATACTTTATATATAAATGAATCGGTTTTCGATTCTAATAGAAATCAATTTTTGGAAATTATTCACAAATTCAATGATTTAAAAGTACAGAATATTCTGTTTCATTCACATAACTATCCAGATGTTAGTGAATTACGTCATGAAAGACAACCATTCAATGCAATGAATCACACGATAATAATAAGCAAAACACTGAAAACACTGTTAACCAGACCTCACGGCAACTGTAGTTATTATGACGGCTCGAGTGGACAACCATTTGGTGCCAAATCACACAATCATTGTATGAGTGAAAACCAAATGTTTATGACATGAATGGTGTCTATTAACCAAAGGGCAAAGTGTTTGCCATTTGGTGCCAAATCACACAATCATTGTATGAGACGTTGTCGAAGAAAATATGCCAAAACTGTTCACAAATGTAATCCAATTTATGTCAACAATTATATCCATGAATTGGATTTTGAAAAGGATTTTAATGAAACATTATGTTTTACTAAACACTTGTATACCTGGAATCAGTTAAAAGTTATCAATTCAATCGAGGTTAATTGTTTGAAATTTTGTCCCAAAGACTGTCTGACAGTTGAGTACAACTCGAGAGTCATATCAAGTGATTCACAAATTGGTACCGAATTCTGGTATAACTTAAGTGTGGATCAGATGTCTGTCAAGAAGTCATTGGTTTGGGACTCAACACAACCCCTGTATGTCTATTGGGAGGAACCGGTGATGTCTTTGACAGACTATATGTCATATACTGGAGGACTGTTTAGTCTATGGTTTGGCACAAATGGCAAACACTTTGCCCTTTGGTTAATAGACACCATTCATGTCATAAACATTTGGTTTTCACACAAATATAATCAATACTTTCCTGATAATAGAGTTTATGATATAAATAATTGAAATTAATTTATTGTTATTATTATATGTTTGCAAAGAATTGAAAAACATTGAAAATTTATTATATTTTAAATTTATTTCTAAATAAAATGTAATTCAATAAATTTTATATAACATTAAATTTGTGTCAAGATTAAACTTCCCCACACTTTAAGCAATAAACGAAAACATAGTGTTTTGGGTGTAATTGTGTTTAGCATTAAAGGGCTTCAAATGCCTCTCATTTCTAGATTTGGTTCTTCGTTTGGGCTCAAAGTCGCAAGAATTTCAGATCACAACCAAATCATTGATGTTCTCATAGATATGTATTTAAATAATTCAAATATAATGCGATTCTTGAACTCAAACCAATGGAGTGGTTTAAACAACCGCTTTGAATATGCATTAAAATCACAATTTGTTACTATTCTTGCCATTCGTTTTGCAATTCTGGAGATTCTGTTCAAATGGCGATCGCATGCGAGAGACCAGACACACGACCCGTACGTAAAGTGCGGCACAACCGGAGAATTATACAGTATTTTCAGTGCAAATATTCGTACGGAATGTCGAAGTCTTCATAATATTGAGAACACTTTCATACAGTTTTCCCTCTAATTCTCAGCCGTTAATCAAAAGTACCTGTCACCCCAGAATAACCTTGCACCTCTATTTCCAGTGGAATATCAAAACACTTAAAAAAAGTAAAACTTTCATGTATTCAAAGTGAGTCTCAAAACAAATTTATATCAAAATTCATACAAAGTGTGGAATAGTTTTTTTGCTATAAGACTAACAGATACGGGCACCTGTACCTCAAGTCTTATCTGTTTTTTCATCAAGTTACACTGGTACACTTTTGTTTCGCACACATTTCAATATAACTTTTCTAATTATTCCAATAATAATACAGTAATTAATAAAAATGTCAATCGATTTGTATTACATGGTTGAGAGCCCTCCTGTCGGACAGTCCTAATGGTGGCCCGACTGCTGGACATCGACCTCAACCTCAAGAGCATAGATGTGTCCAAATCGGAGCAAATGAACGCCGACTTCGTGGCCATAAAAAACACTTGACATTCATGTCAACCGCCATTCCCATGAAAGCATACCTTATAGATGCGAAGTACGGCTTCCAGTGACCCGAGAATGAAGTACAGATCGCCAACACATACGACCCGATGTAATATCGGTCCCAATCGAGGCCTACGAGTACTCAACCATTAAGATAGACTTCAAAACACATCCCAAGCACTCACTTAACAATCCCGAAACCGCACGACACTATAATGACTAGCATTCGGGCCAGAGTTCGCTTAAAACACGACAAAACCTCCGCGAACAGCACCGCCCCCTTCACCGACACGCCCGTCGAGTTGATGGACTGGTACTCCGCATAAAACACCGCCTTTTCAAACATCCCGAGGAATATGACGCCTCTGATCCAGAACTGGATGCGCAACATATACTGGAGGACTGTTTAGTCTATGGTTTGGCACAAATGGCAAACACATTGTGTCAATTCAGTGGTAAAGGCGTGGAAAGGAGTGCCCGATTGGTGTGAGTTTGCAGCGAAGCCATGAGTGGAAAGCCTGTCGAGAGAGTGCTGGATGTGAAGGAACTCCGGAAGTGTTTCTACGAGATATCATTGGCCGCAGAGTTTGGTTGTCGTGAAGACAAACATATTTACCGACATTTGAGTGAAGAGTTTCGCCGAAAGTGGGATCAATTGGAGTCTAATCTGTATTACGAAGAGTTGTATTCAGATTTACTGATTAAATGGAAATACATATTAAAATAAATAAGTTTACAAATATCTACATAAATGCCTTAAAACTTTTAAGTTAAAAGCCTGTTTCCAATAGCTTTAAGCAGTAATCAAAATATTTTATCGCTAATTACAAAACTATATAAAAGTCAAAAACAAAATGAAATAATTATTAAATTATTTAAATCGCGAGAAAATTACTAGATTTGAATTTATCCGATAAATTTTATCGGGAAAATATTTGTCTCAAATTCAAACATTGATTCACAAAAACATTAGACTTTGATTGCCATAAACTATAGCCAAAAGTGTCTGAAGTTTAGCCACAATTACGATGACTTTAGTATGGATTCAATTGATTGTCATTTATTCCATTAGTTGTGAATCGCGTGAAGACTACAAAATGAATGCAAATATCTTTAATGTAATCCAAACCATAATCCCTTTAAAACTAATTCAAAAATAATCGTTAAAATTCTGCACAGAATCTCACAAATGGTTTGTTTGGGGAATCGGACGACAATTATCTCACGAGTGGTATAAACAGTGGTTCTGCGGACCAATTGTCACGATATATACGCCAATCGTCTGACAATAACACTAATCCCGTGACCACCATAGGAACCGGTGGTCTAGACAGCCATACTCCGGGAGGTTTAACTCAACTCAAAACCATAGAGGGGTCCACACCGTGGGTGTCCCTCATTATGCTATACTCGACAGCACTGGTAGTCATTATAGCGGCGATTGTGTCCAAGAAATTGCTTTTGAGCTATAATTTAAAGAAGCGAAAGAAGAGGGCATCGCAAGAGAGACGGTATCTAATAGTGCGTCGAAAGCGGGGACAGGGAGTGGTGGCTAAGACACAGCCGCCGCCGGCTGTACCCAAGGGTCCGGCGCTCACAACACCGGCCGACACGGAAAGGACTGTGCGCTCAGAGAACGACTCGTTTGAAGGTATGGTTAATATTAACGATATAATGAATTGTATGATAAATATAGGGTGCGGGTCTATTGACCTAAAAACCAATTGACCTAAACTTAAATAACTTAATGACCAGCAGGTAAATATAGCTGATGACCAGTGTAAAATGTTCCCCTTGACCTAACCTAACCTTACCTATCCTTA